ATATTTACCATATTTATAAACATTAATTTTTTTTCTGTCTACAAATGCAATCTATGTATATTTCAGAAAGTCAAGAAATACAGAAAAACACCAGGATAATGTAAAATCACCCATAATCTCAACATATTGTTCCATTTAAATAATGTGTATATAAAAAGTGAATTTCCTTTCTTTACCTCTCCACCCATCCCCATTCCCATCATTGTTAGGTAATCATAATTAAGCAATTGGTATCATGTTCTAAGATTTTTCTATGACTTTTGCTTATAAAAATGAAATCACACTAATCATTGTCTTATGGTTCTTTCTTTTTAACATACTATCATAGACATCTTTTCAAGACATGTAGACCTAACCTTATTCTTTTGATAGGCTCATGATATTCCATGCTGTGTATATACAAGTTATACAAAGAGGGGCCCTGAACTACTATATATAATATTATATATATATATATATATATATATATATATATATATATATATATGGTATGCATGTTACATTTTGTGATGGTTTGGATATAAAGTGTCATCTACAGGTGAGTATGTTGAAGGCTTGGTCTGAGGGCAGCAAGTTTGAGAGGTAGAGCCTTTTGGAAGTGATTGGATCAAGAGGACTCATCTCCTTATCAGTGGCTTAATCCATTAATAGCGGAAATGGACTACTGTGAGGCAGTGGAAACTACAGGTGGGAACTGGTTGAAGCAGGTGGGTCACTGTGGGTGTGCGCTGAAAGGGTATTTCTTGTCCCCCAGATCCTTCTCTCTCTGCTTCCTGACTGCCATAAGCTAAGCAGTTTTCCTCCATCAGTGCCATCCTCCACAACATGCTACCTCAGGCCCAAAGCAATGGAAAGAGCCAAAAATGAACTGAAACTTGTGAAGCCAGGAACAAAAATCTTTCCTCCTCTAGGCTGTTTTTGTTGGTTATTTGTCACAGTGACAAAAATTAACACATTTGTTTCAGTTATGAACTCATAAGTAGCACCAATTTCCCTTATTCTCTCTCTCTCTTTTCTAAAAATAGTTTTTTAGTTGTAGATGAACACAATACCTTTATTTTGTTTATTTTTTTAATGTGGTGCCAGATCGAACCCAGTGCCTCATGCATGCTTGGCAAGCGCTCTACCACTAAGCCACAACCCGGCCCTCCCTTGCTCTCTTGATCTTCCATTGCAATGCCAAATCTCTCCAAATCCCTGCCTCAACTCATCACCCATTATCTCCATTTTAGAGGACTACTAAGGGCTGTCAAGAGAATCTTTCAAATATGGCTAAGTAGCTCCAACCTCACCTGGGTTATTTTAATTTTTTATCATTGTATTGTTCTCATCATCGAAAGGTCTATTGAAATCCTTTCCTACTCTATATTACCCTCTCACCCTGATCAAATAAGTTGCTCTATAACTTACAGAGTAACTTTTTACTTCCTCTTCATCTCTCAATTGCCTTTCTTGACCTACCCTTCCTTTCTTTCATCCTGAGTTAGAAAAAGGACATTTTAGGTCTTGTCTAGGGATTATCCTACCATCTTCAATTTCACCCTCTGTACCATTTCCTCTTCCTTCTTATCCTAGAAACAAGTTTATGTATTCTTTTGATAGGCTCATGATATTCCATGAGCCTATCAAATATTAATAATAATATTAATAATTGATATTATATTATATTATAATTAATATCAATAATTGATATTATTAATATCAATGGTTGATAATAATAATTATTAATATTATTAATATTTGATGGGCTCATATTAATAATGCTAATAATAACAAAAATAATATGTAAATAGCACTTAAAATGTTCTAGGAGGCCTATTCTAAGTACTGTGTATGTGTATAAATTGAATCTTTATAAAAGCCTTAAGATATAAGTATTAATTATAATTATCCTCATTTCATAGATGAGGAAACTGAAGCATAGAGAAATCAGGTGATCTGACTAAGGTTGAAAGCTATTAAATGCAGAGTTGAGATTAAAACCCAAACAGTTTGGGTCCACTATGCCCCATGTGTATAGAAGCTTATATAAAAGGACTATAACTCAGGGGAGTAATGTAAAGCAGAGTGGGTTTAGAAAACTGGATGGGTAGAGAAGCCTATAGAATACCCAAAACAATGGAAAGCAACTCTTTGAGCTTAATAGAAAAATCAGGATTTATAGATACCTGAGATCATTTGATATTTGTGTGATAAATAATTGAGAGTTTATAAAGGCTTGTCTTACACAGCCACTTTGCAGAGCACCCGTATCCCTATGCAATTTCATATGAAGTTTGGAAGCTTCAACGTCAATTCATTGTGTCTACTTTCCTTAGCTTCTAATAGCTAAATCTATTGATATTAACAATATTACCACCACTTACAGAATAAATTGGATCCTATTTCCTCAACAAATCTTGACCAAGACAAATGAGCATCAGCAGCCACAGCCTACTATCCAAAACAGAATTAAGACATTTTTTCCATCCTTTACTGACAAATCAACCCTGGGATCAGGCATTCAGGGCTCCTATATTACCCTTAGTTCATTCTTTTCCATACCTAACACTGAATACGAATTTGATCCTTGAGTCATCAATTCAGCAGCCACACATCACCTTTTTTCTCCAAAACCTATGATCCTGAAAGGATGTTCCATGCAGGAGTGAGAATAAGATAAAACTGCATAATAAGCCATTTTTAGAAGTTGGCATTCAAAAACCATATTCTCTGGTTGGTAAGCAGTAGACTAATTTTTATATGTAAAAGACAATCTCACATTTTCCTAAAAAGTGTTACTATACTTCCAAAAGTAACTTTCAATGGAAGATTAATTAATACCAAACATTTAAGTAGCATACAAACTGAGCCTTAGGTACTATACTATAATATCACTTCTCAAAAGCAAGAATCACAGGTAAAACAACAGAGGTCATCTAGCTCAACTCTCTTTATTTGAAAGTATAAAAACCAAGTCTCTAAGAGACAAAATTATTTATTCAAGGTCACAGAGCAGGGTACTGATAAGATTGAAACAATGACTCAGGTCTCTAGTTTCCCAATCTAAAAAGTATCAGATGTCCATGAGGTATATTGAATTTTAAAGAATTTGAAAAAGATCATGTAGTACACAATATGAATCCATAAACTGTTATGAAATACTAAGCAATTAAAACATGAAAACAACCTCTGACAGTGTTTACTATAAAACACAAAATTATGAAATTAAAATTTATATAGGAGAGCCAAACATTTGCTCATGAATATCACTGGTCACAACAAATCTACCACCTTTTAATCTCATATACATATATATAATATATATAATATATATATTCAATAATTGTTCTTCTCTACTTATATATCATTCTTTTCCACTTAGATAACCACCACCTCTTTTCTTTCCATGTAAAAAATAATCTAATGTGTTCACTGAAGAAGAAAAAAGCATTTTATGAAGGTACAAAGTATAAAAAATCACTCAAAAGTCCAGCAACCAGCTGGGCATAATGACACACACCCATAATCCCAGCAACTCAGGAGGCTGAAGCAGGAGGATCATGAGTTCAAGGCCAGGCTAAACAACATAGTGAGACCCTATCTCCAAAACTAAAAATAAAAAGGCCTGGAGATGTAGCTCAGTGGTAAAGCATTCCTGTGTTCAATCTCTAATACAAAAAAAAAAAAATCTAGCTACCAGAAATAACTAATATTAGTATCTTGTAAACTTAATTCATTCCAGCCATCTCTCTTAAGCATATAAATCTTAATACACAAATGGTTTTACAAAAGTGGGCTCATATACTATATTTAACAAATATAACAAATTAATTTCACCTGAATTTAACAGAATTAAAACAAATATAAAATTAAAGAAATTCTCAACTTAAATTTTCCCCCATAAGAGTTTAATTCTAAAAAAATCCTCCTAAAATTAAAGATAATTATGGAAAACATTGAAGAGGCTGGTGTAATTTTTTTCTAGCTTCAAGTTTTAATTAGAGACTATATGGAAGTTCAGTATAAAAGATGAAACTAGAAAACTTGAGTTCCTTTACTTCTATTTATATTACTTCTACATAACAGACAATGAACAACCAAATCCCACTATTTATGAAATTCCTTTAAGTGTTGCCAAACTTCATATTACACAGGAATAATATATAATGGTTCTTAAAGGACTCACATTTTGAAACAAAAACTAAATAATGGTAGAGACACAGTAAAAAAGAACAGATACATGTTCAAGGCTAGTAATAAATGGTCAGTGCCTTAGTCCTTTGGACTTCTATTACATAATACCAACAGTTTGATGGCTTATGAACAGCAAAAATTTATTTCTTACAGTTCTAGAAACTGGGAAGTCTAAGATCAAGGTGCCAAGAGATTTGGTATCTGGTGAGGAACTGTTATCTGGTCTGTTTAAAATGTTTAATTCATTTAAATATTCTGCATAAAATCACAGCTATAAAATTATAGTTTAATTTAGAACTATTTCTTTTTGTCAATATTTAACAAAAAGAATTAAATACTTATCATACATCTTCAAAAAAACGAACTTTCATCATCATCTTTAAATTGTGAGTAAGAAAAACATGCAGTATTATCAAAATGATTTTGAATGTATTAAAATTAATTATTAATATAGTATTAGTTATGAACAAAATGGGACTGTTTAAGCTGTAAGTTCAATATATAAGAACGGTTTTATGAAGAACAATCAAATTTTTTCATAAAATATTTGTATCACTAATTGGACAGACTATCTGGATTATGGACCATTATTGAGGAAGTATTTGACAGTTTTATAATGTTATATAAACTGCTTAAGTATAATACCATTTTAAGTCCTACAAATCATATATTTACCTTTTACTTAAATTCTTACTGACAAATTAACGTCTGATTTAACACATAAGAATGGTCATAAAACAGTCAAAGGACACCAATTTAAAAAAGAAAACAACAAACAAAACAAAAATAGAAAAAATACAGTTCTAAGGAAACTGAAACACTTTTTAGTACAAACACTGGTTACAATTAAACTTTAAATAAAAAAGACTTACCACATTTTCCTTGATCTTTCTCAGCTTTTCATCTATCTCTCTCAGTCGATTTTGCTGATCCCGTTCCTCTTTGTTTTTCTGCAGGACTCTTTCTCCTGGAGTTATTTCTGTATTTTTTTCATCATGAAGGTCATGTTCCTATTTTAAAAAATATAAAATAATTCACAGGTTGGTAATGCACAGCTGTCACAGACCCCTCCTCCTAAGCAACTGAGCCTTAAGGGTCAGTTGTGCTTTTTATTTGTACAAGGGGTTGAACCCAGAGGTGCTTAACCATTGAGCTAGATCTCCCGCCCTTTTTATATTTTATTTAGAAACAAGGTCTTACTAAGTTGCTTAGGGCCTCACTAAGTTGCTGAGGCTGGCTTTGAACTCTAGATTCTCCTGTTTCATCCTCCCCAGCCACTGTGATTTCAAGTGTCTGCCCCTGTACCCAGCCAGTTGTGCTTTTTTACAAAATTCCTTCCCTTCAAAACCACACCTATTAATTCTTTAAAACATTCCTGTTTGAAAGAGTAACAGTCCAACCACACATAAAACAAGTAGGAAAATAAACTCAACTTCTGCAATTACCTGAAAAGCAGAAAGATACAATGCAAAGAGCCATGGCCAGGTTGGGACCTGGATTCTGGTGCCTTCTCTAATAATTATCAGCTTGAGATCTTGGACAAACTTCAAATTCATCATAAGTAAATAATAAATTTTAAACCTGGCTATCTGTATTATTACAGCCAGGTATATAGTAAATGGAAGAAAACAGGGCTTGGTAACTTCAGAAGTTTGAATCTTGACTATTTTGTTCCTGATCTCACAGAAATGAATTAACTTTTCTAAACCTCAGTTTCATCAACTTAAATTACAATAATAATGAGATCTAGTCTAAAATTCATCACATAATAGACATGAAACAAATTTAAGTGTGATAAATGTGAGCTATGTCCTTTGAAAAGAATAAGCATTATATAATGAAAGTACTTCACTGATACCAGTAAATATTGATATTGACAGAATCACATTTGCCGAAAGTTGATGCTTTTTCTAAGTGATAAAAATGGGTATTGGGGGCAGTAAGTTGATTCTATATCTAAAACTAAATTTCCTCTCTTCTCTCCCATAGAACTTCTATTCTGTGTTGCCACAAAGAAAATTAGTATAAATGACAGTTTTGAAGTTACTCAAGCCAGAATCCTACTGCTCCCCCATTCCTTACACACAGTTGGTCATCAAGAATGCTCACTATTCTAATTTCTAGCATCTCTATAACAAAGGCACTTCATTTTTTTTCTCACTGCCTTAGCTCAGACCTCATCATTCATTGGTAATTTTCAAACTCTAGCATGCTTCAAAATCATCCGCAGAGCCTTGAAAACGTGCAAAAGCCCAGCCACCATGTGAGAGATTCTGATTCAAAAGGTAAAAGTGAAGTACTAATGACCTAAAGTACAACTACTTCAAATTTGAGAATCAATGACTTAACGTGACTGCTTGAGCCTCTTAACTGGTATCAGTGCTACCAGTTGCCTCATTTACTTCATTCTTTGCAGAAAAGCCATGGAACAAGGCATAAAGTGTTCAAAGTCTGGGCCCTGCCTATAAGATTCTTCAGTTTTAGCTCCCACTGTTTGGATCTCAGACTCAAAATTCCAGGCATATTCACTACTTGTAGTTCTCTGCCACTCCATGCCTCCATCTTCCAACTCCTTGTGGAGACTCCTACCTATTTTGAGCCTAGCTCCAGAATATTTACACTATAAAGTATTACCTGGCATATCCAGATACGACAAATTATTCTCTTAGACATGCCCCATGTTCCTTTATTGCACATACCACATTGTCATTGCCTAGACAGTGACATGACTGACCCTACTCTTCAGGTACTCATTGAGGTACTCTGTACCTCAATGCAAACATTCTGAAGCTATGTAAGTTCTTGCCAATAAAGTGTAATTTTGGTTCTCAGAACATTGATCACAACTAATATTTGATTATGAATGTCAATGAAATTCAACTGAATAAAATTCTAATGAGCAAACTATTAAAATAATATACCGATTTTAAGAATTACATTTTGTTTCAGGTCTCACTTCTGAGCTCTAAATCTGTATAAGCATCCAGAGACTGAATTATTATCAAGAATATTTTGGAGAAAAGGTAGCCTTTTTAACAAATGGTGCTGGGAAAACTGGAAATCTATATGTACCCCTATCTCTTACCCTGCACAACAGTCAACTCAAAGTAGACAATACCTAGGAATTAGACTAAAAACTTTGCAATTGCTAGGGGAAAAAAAATGTAGGTTCAACACTCCAATATGCCAGCCCAAGAAACAACTTCCTTAATAAGATTCCTAAAGCACAAGAAATAAAACCAAAAATCAATAAGAGGGATGGCATTAAATTAAAAGGCTTCTGCACAGCAAAGGAGAGGATTAAGTTGTAATATTTGAAGAAAATCATGTAATGAAAGCAGAGGCCAAGAGGAAGCAAGAAAATGTAGTCACGGATGCTGGGAAATGATTTTATGGAGAATTCAGCAAAAGCTCTCCCTGATAAGCACAGAATATCTAAAGGAGCCAGAAGAAGAGAATTATCCCTGAGGAAAATTGATATTTGTTGACTTGACTAATTGATTGCCAAAAGATTCTGAGTTCATCCTTAGAAAAATATCCGTGGTGTTGACTGAGCCAACAGGGGTCTTTGAAGTTAAATAAACTCATTTTCAAAAGTCAAATACAGAGGAAATTACTCATAGCTTCCTAAGTTATCTGATATGCAAATAAAGCATATATTAAGGATCGCAAACCTGCCTGGATAAAGCCAGCCTGTTCTGCATTTTCAGACTAGCAGCATTCTACTATCTCCTCTGATTTGATGGGTCATTTGCCTGGCCATACCAAAGTAGGGAGGAAATCTTTCAAGATTGTTTTTATCATTTTGGGAAACAGTTATAAAGTTAAAGACACCTTGACTGCATCAGAGTCTTAACAAAAAAAAAAAAATGTAAACTTCAAAAAAAAATCTGTAAAATATAGGTGCAAGAGCCATTCCAAGATTTAACTGAGAATGTTTGACAGGTTGGCAACAAAGACCTCTAAAGTAACTTCCTGTTCATTCCTCAATTCAAAACTCATACTCCTGTGGCATGCTTCTGTAGCTTGGGAGAATGAGTTTGGTCAGTAAGAGTTCTGTACTTGTGACCAGCACATTGAAAAATTCCTATATTCCTGTTCTTAATCACTGTATTAAGTAAATATGCAGTTAAATGGACTCTGTGGCCATTATTAGAACTGTGCAAATCCTTGGAGTCAGCAAAATAATGTTTTTCGGGATTACATGTCAAACAATTGTCTATATTTACTCTATTTGAGCTCATGTTGAGACAGGAAGAGACCAAAAAAAGTTAATTGTTGCTTCCAACAATAGCACCTTGGCAAGAAAAGAGATAAATACGACTCCAATTTTCTTCAATCAAATGTGTATTAATTTCTTGTTGGTCTCACCAAATTGTGTAAAATGGTATTAGTATACTAAGAACAAGAAAATAAATCAAATTAAGGAGAACTTTTATATTCAATTATATTCATTGGTTTAAGAAATTCCTTTTATCAATGAGACCCATTTCTGAAGACTATCCTCCAACTAGGGAAAAAAAAAAAACTAACCATGAGCTGGAATCCTAGATTTAGTAAGGCTAATTATCTAAGAGATGAATAAACTACACTTCTTGATAAGAGCCAAATGGAATAGAATTTATTATTGAATCCAGTTGCTAAAGATTTAAGAAACTGAATGCTTACATAACTCCTGTATCTTAGATTTTTCTGGAGAAAGGTAAAATCTAATTTATCTACAAATAATAAAAACTAAATCATGAACATCACTCAAGTCTATGGTGGGATTTACAAGACATAGAAAGAACTGATTTGTTGGAGAGTTAAGAAATGGATACAGAAAGGTATGCACAGTTAACCACAGATCTTAAGGAAAAAATGCTTCAATTAGTTCTCTTTTGCTAAGATGAAATAAAAATAAAAAGCAGGATGTAAAAACTACAACCACATGATATTATTAGCATTACAGCAATAACAGTAATATACCATTCTTTCCTTTGAATGTGGTCATGTGCTTTGTTTTCAACAAAGGAAATAAGATATGTAACAGCCAAATGCAGCTTTTAAAATACTGCCATAAAAGTTAAGGACCAGGCAGGACCATCTATATGAAAACATCATAATAAGAAAGTTCATAAGGAAAAGGAGACTTTTTATCTGCTTCTTTCACAATAACCAACACTTCCTTAATCTCTGAGCCATATTTCTAGAGTCCCTCAAGTTATTCTGACTTAGCTATGTTCATCATCTTAGGTTTCGTGTCCACCAATTTATCAACACATAGTTACCATAGACAGAAAGTCTGTGGGTTTCAACTTGTTAAGTAAACTGTTTTCTTGACAACTCAGTATCAAATGATGAATACTGCTGCAAAGTAAAGAATCTGAGCCGGTGCAATAGCAAATGCCTATAATCCCACAGACTTGGGAGGCTGAGGCAAGAGGATCACAAGTTAGAGGTCAGCCTCAGTAACTTAGTGAGACCCTGTCTCAAAATAAAAACAAAAAGAGCTGGTGATATATCTCAATGGTAGAGGGCTAGTAATCGGAGAAAAAAAAAGTAGAGAATCTGTGCCCCATAAAAAGCCATAGTTCCTGCTCAATTGAATCTAGTACAGTAGTTGCCAACTAAGGATTCACATCTAATGTTGCTATATTTTCTTCTTTTTCAAGAGAAACTAGAAATTTAGATTTTTTATGTGAATTTGCCTAATTTTTAAATGTAGACTAAAAATGTTTGTGAACACTTTGTGGGTTTTAGCCTCCTATGGGCCACTAATCTTCATCCTCTTAGTGTATGAAGGCAATCTTCTGTGTCTCTGACGTCTTCTCCTTCCTGCTCTAGGTCCTCTTCCTAGCCCAGTCCCTCTCTTACAAAAACAGACTTTCTTGATATTCATTATGGATGTTCTCACTCCTCTGAACCACCAAACCACTTTACTTGCAATCTTCTACACCACTTACCTACATTGTCTTATACCACAGTATCCTATGTGTATTTAATATCTCCCATAAGGAAACAAGTTCTT